TTGCCTTGCCGTTGTCTTTCAGGGTCTTTTATATGTGGCACATTCAATTACCGGCATTTCCGTTAACTGTCACCTTCGCACTGCAATCTTTCACGCAACTTAAATATTTATAAGGTTTATTAATGCGCATGTGGAGTTGGGGGCCGAAAGAAAACATTTATAATTATTTATTATAGCAAAAAGAGAAACCGTTTTTGTGTCTGCAAGCCTTTGTCTTGCTGCTCCTGTGTATGGGTGTGTGAGAGTGTGTGCGAGTGTGCATATGTTGCCAGTTGTTGCAGAGTGGCAAACGAAAGCGAAACGAAACTGTCGCGGGAATAGCAATAAATCATTTATGCAGCAGCCTTGCACTTACAGACTCACACACACACATGTGTACAAAGTGGCATAAATCAACTTACACACCCATGCCCAAATGCACTCACACTCTCACACACACATGCATTGGCACAGCCAGACGCACACAAACAGGGACGTGTTCGCAGTCATATGCAGAACTTGCGCGAGTTTTCCCAAAGGAAAATGCAGCAGAAAAACTGCAAACTTACGCGCTTCGCTTCGTCGCCTCGTCATCTCTAGCCAGTGATCCACACCCCACTTCCTTCCCCCACTCACCTTTCGTTGTGAGTGCACGTCAGTGCCTCATGTGTCTCTTGATAAGCACACTTGAAGTTGCAGCATCAGCAGCAGCTGCAACTGCAACTGTGGCAAAGGAAAAGGCACTGTTCAAATCGGCTACGAGCGCAGTGTGTTGTTCTGTGTCGTTTTTGAGATATGTCAAGCACTTTATTGACAATTGCCAAAGTGTGTTGAGCAGTGTTAAGTTTTCTCACTGAATATAATTTCTTTTCTGTATAAGAAACTAAATCGTATTTAACTCATGCTCATGCTCATGCTTTAGACAACTAAGTAAGTATTAACAATTAAGATGTCTTATTGTAAAAACTTATTTTATTTTGTGTAGTAACTGTCTGACAGGTAACTGGAAAATCGTTTTGCATTTCAAATGTTAATTTTTCTTTGGAATAACAGAATTAGCAATATTATCCATTGGCAATACCTGATATCTCCATGCCTATACATAAAAAAGAGTTCAGTATAACCAAATTCCTTTAATGATCCTGGTTGGTTTTGGTTCAGATCGTTAATCTTTTATAAACCGACTTTTAAGGAGTATATATATATAGTATATATATATATATGGCAATATGCGCAAATTATTTGTTAAACTGTTAAATTTTCTAATAAAATCAGGGGATTACAAAAACAAATTATTTAAATTTGGTTCCTTAATAAATTATTTGTTCTCAAAATTTTGGAAATTTATATACATATGATGCATAATAGCTTTTAATTCATCCTCAAATACGTCATATAACTAGATCATAAATGTTTATATGTTTATATCATATTCCGCACGTCGCACCAATTATCATCTTGTTGCATTTTGAGGGCTTCGCGCTGCAGGTTTTTTTTTGTGTGCTTTTATACAACTTCCGTCGATTTACGAAATTATAATTGCTCTGTTCCCGTAACCAGCTTCAACGAGCGCCAACCAAAAAACAGGCAACGGCCATACCTATTCATGTTTGTGGGCGCTGCATAGAAGAGTCGTGTAGCGTTCACAATGCGCTTCCGCCTCGTTGTTGTTTTGCATGTTGACATGGCACGAGGAACGTGGCAGACGCGGCCACGTTACTCATACGTCGCGTGGGCGGGCGTGTTGACAATACATGGCCATATTTTTCTTTTTGCCGCTAATGCGGCACGCCCCAAACCTACATTTGCACCCACGCATGTAAAGCGCGTAAAGTTGAAATGACAATCGAAAGCCGGGCCAACAATGGCAGCCAGAGGCAAAACCGGAGCCAGTCAAGTGTGTGGGTGTTGCAGCTGCTGCAGCTGTGCGCCTTTTCTTTTCACAGAACAACAACAGCAACAACGGCAACAGCAGCAATGCAACGTGACAACTTCCGCTGCATGCGCTGCTGGCACAAAGAAAAACAGCGTAAAACTGTAACGGAATTGCATTGTGAAAAGCAAAATGTTTTTTCCTGGCACACGGCAAACAACAACTGTAGCAGCCAGCAGCAACAACAACCCAAGGAACACAGTAACACATTTGAAAAAAAAGGCCTTCAGGCTGATATCAGCACACATCTATTACTATTATTGTATAACAAGTATATCGCATGCTATTTCTAACTATTATATAGGAAATGCACAGTTATCGCAAATCAATTAAAGCCGCACGCCAACGCAATTATTTTGATTTATACGCCCCGTGGTATACAGTGCAATTTCATTTAATTATGCAAATCAGATCATCGCGGCTAGCTTATTAATTTATAACATTTGACGTTTGTTTTTATAGCCACATTTCAATTTATTAGTTTTGGTACGAAGAAAAACTAAGTGGAAGTAACAAATAACTTGATAGTATCAAAATTTCTGTGTTTACACATCTGATTAAAATTTGGAAATGATAAGCAAGTTACGCATATTTGAAACAAATCTGACAGACAGACAGATATTTACTGTCTATTCGGAGCTATATTAAGATATTCGGTTGTGACAAAGTTTTGTATAAAGCAATGCAACATTTTAAATGAGTAAATGCATAAATCTTTCTCCAAATTATTCACTTGGCTACACACGTGGAGAACTGCAATATTTTGACCCCTTAGGTGTTCTAACTTCTGGAACTGCTCAATATCTAAAAGGCCATTGGCGTCCAAAATGTTCATCTCGGCAGCTGCGCAACGCACATAGCACATATATTTCATTTCAACATTTTCCAAATGTCCTTCGGCCTGTGCCTGATCTATTTTGGATAATAACTCCGGCCTGGTGGCATTATTTTCAGCCTGGCATTTCTCTTCCACGTCAAGGGGTACGTTTAAGCTCTACAATTTAATTCAAATATATATAATGTAATATGTCCATACAGATTCTTATGGAATAACTTACTTGTACATAAGCCAGCATAAATGCAAGAGTTATTAGTACATTTATAGTTAAGTTTAGGGCTAACATATTATTGCTCCTTTTTATTGGTTATTTTAGAGTTTAGCTCCTTTTATGGTTTATGCTATTGAAATATTTTTGGAAACTGTGTGTTTTGAATTATAAACTGATCTCGAACACTTCGCTTGGACGAAAACATTTGACAGTTCATCTAAATTTGGCATTGGCTTTTATAGAGTCGTGGTGAGAGCTCCACATTATTTCCCTTTATAAGTTCAACGAGCCAGAACTATGAATGGCGCTTTTGAATTAACAGTTGCGTAAGACGTTAACTTGATTATGTTAATTAACTCTTTCATGGGTAAACAAACTAATTATTATCTGCGTATCCATAAATCTATCAATTTCAGTTTTTAGCATTCCAGTTATAAAACAGAGAATTGCACAATTCCCTTTGTATTAAATGAATTGCGCAAAAAATTAGCTATAAATGATTGCAGATGTATTATTATTCTTGTGTTCAGGTCGAGTTTTAAGTCATGTGTACAATTTAGATAATTTTCAATTAATATAGCTATTTATTTTTAAAAAAATTTAAAAAAAAATAATTTGTAGTTTTACTATTTTGATTTACATATAATAAATTCATCAATTCCATGATAAATGCTCACCATCTTAGAAAATAGCACCTAAGACCCTGCGAAAATCAGTACAATATATTATATAAGATAAACAAAATCAAAATATTATCCCAAAATTAATAAAAATGTAAAATGAATGAAGAGTTCTGATATTTACGTCAATAACAAATCAATAACAAAGTTTGATTTTTATTGCTAAACAATATATAATTGTTTAATTTTTATGTATAACATAAGTTTTGTATAAGGGTTCAGAATTAAACGTTCTAAATTACAATTTCCTGACAAGATCAAAGTGACTAAAAAAATTAATAAATATATATAACAGCGATAGACGTCTATCACATATGATAAAACTTAACGGTCACATAGAGTAACAAAAGAAGAGGAACGAAAAAAATACGAAATTCAAACCATTTAAATATATTCATTTGAAATTGACATAATTTTTTTTTAACTTCCAATAAACCATCAAAAGTAAAATTTTTGTTTTTGGACGCCGGACTGTGTAATATATTTTATTTTAATGATTTAATATTTGCTTTCAGTTTGCATATAGCACAGGTAGAAATAAATATTATCATTCAATATTTGAACAATTAACTTTAATGAGTCATTAGAAAAAATATATTCATACAATTGCTATTTAAACAACTTACTTTTGTTCTATGCAATTTAAAAACGTGTATACAAATAATTTTCAATATAAATTCGTAGACAATTAAGTTAATTTATCTTCTTGTTTTTGAATAAAAATATTTATAAAACTTGATACGTGTTTATTTACATTGCGTGCTCATATTTTAATATTTTAATATGATTTATTTAAGAACAAATACTTTCTTCTTCTAATTTTACTGCTCGAGTTCTCCGTGCTGCATGCTGCTTCTGAAGTTCGACTACTTTGTTGAAGTTGAGGTTTTGTTATTTGTTATCAATCACAGGATGAATAAATAGGCACACATAATCAGCTTAAGCCTGTACGCAGTCTGTTCATCCGGTGCTTCTGTCATTCGGGTAATAATAGCTTCAGCTGCCTTCTTTGTGGCAATCACAAGATGCAAGTCCATGCGGTCCTGCTGATTCAGCTTTTTCTGCAGTTGACAGTCTATGTTGCACTTGTATTTTAATTCAACTTTGTTGCCGGGCAGGTTTCGTTCCCAAAAGCCTCAAACAGTTTATACTCATTGTCGGTAATATTATGAACCTTAAGACAGTATTCAAACGGATCGCGACACAGCATTTTATTAGGAATTTGTGCCTTTAGTTAGTTGAACTGTATGCTAACCGAAACCAAAACAAACAACATCAGCAGCAGCACAGGTTTCATGATAGGCCGCGGGCTTATAATTGCAAGAACCTTTACTAAATTTACTAAGTAGTTTATTCCCATTCGATTTTTAAAGCTCAACATTTGATTTATTACGAGTACCTATAGAGAAGAAGTCCACCCAGTATACTGCATATTCTTACTCTCTGACTCTCAGCACAAATTTGGATTTGTTACTGCTCAGCTATTACGCACGTCATAATATTGGCGGCATATTCGCAGAGATCTGCCTCTCCATGGTGCTTTTTGTTGCACTTGCGGAAAGCAATGCGATCGGTGTCACGTAGCTCTGCCAAACTTTCCACCTGCTTCATACTGAGGTATCCGTCGGAGTCCAGTACACCCATTTCGTTAACTATACAATGCATAAAGCACTTGAATTTCCTTTCAATGTCTCCAGTTTCTTGGTCCACCGTTCCATATTTTATTAGCTTTTCATACTGATTCTTGGGAATGTGGTTCTTATCCAAACATTTGTCAATCACTTCATCCTGAGAGGCACTCTGTTGAATTCAAATGATTGTAAGTAATCAAAACTTAAAAATTTCTAGTAAACTCTTGAGTTACCTGTACTGCAATGAGTAGAAAACCAAGAAAAATGATTGCACATGCGTTTTTCGTGCTGTCAAACATTGTATTTAATTCTGCTTTCAATCAGTAACTGCAACTCAACGGAAATTTCTCGACTGTCTTATTATTCATTTTTAAATCGAGTTATATATCTGCTTTATTTATTTCTAATGTGCATTAAATATATTGCATGCTTGTAATTAATACGCTCTTTTTATTTACCATACACAAATAGTGTATTCATAGTTTATTTAGAGCATCTAGACTTGTTTGTCGCTTCACGGTTTTGTGGCACTAGCGTGTCTAATTGGGCTTTAAATCAGAGAGAATCAGTACAAAATGATCACAATATTAATTAAGAAAGTAAAGTATATATATTCCATATATAGCCTTCTCCGTCTGCTTGTTGCCATGCAAACTAGTCTCCCAGTTACAAAGCTTTTGTCATGCCTGTTGCAGGCAGTACATATCTCAAAGTCGGCAGATCGGCTATGCCCTATATACTGATATATATATACCCAAAAAAAAAAGTAATTGTATTTTGTTTTCTTCACATGCCTGCAAAGTAAAAGCTCTGTGTCTACGTACGTATTTAATCTCTTTTTCCATTCATATTAATTAAATGTAATTGACTGTGTTAATACAATTATGTTCAGTTAAATGTCTTTATAGTTTATAGTTCTGCCTTTTGCTTTTTTAGTTGTTGACCATTTTTATGCTTAAGTAATTTTGTTAAAGTTCTAGTATGCCGTCAACTTAGTACCAAATGCAAACCTGGCACAATAACAACAGCGAAGAGAGCACGCGCCAGAAACTCACGTAAATTTCATTTTATACGCAGTGAAATTCGCATAACATTTCCTGTCAACATATTTTGCCACACTTTGCAGCAAAAATGAAGCGACAATGCAGCAGCAGCAGCATCAGCAAGGCCATTATGCCGCACACACACACACACACACACACATATACAGCGACAAATTGGTCTGACAGCATCGGATGGGGCATTTCTAACTATGCGACCTCAACACCAGTAACCAACACCAACAACATACACCGCACCCTCTGTCTGTTCCAACCGAAAACTCGCTACAACAAATGAAAATTCCAAGAATATTCGTATTCGTATTCGCATTCGCAGTGAGTTTTGGCTTTTGCGGCTGCCAGTCGCTGTTTACTTGGCTACCCCGGTTATTTACGGCCTGCAAATTTTTTGCCATCCTATTTGGTTTCTATATACCAATTTTTTGTTTCTTTTCTTTTTTATTTATTTTATATTTTGGTTCATTGTTTGTTGCTGGCTTGTTGCCAAAAGGGAAATATGTGTTGTGAAAATTGCACATTTTTATAGCCATCGCTAGGTGCTAAACTATGGGTATCTGCTCCTTTGCTCCCACTCCGACACTGACCTTTTTAATTGCGCTGCAATTTTTAAGTATCGATTTTTGATTTGTTATGAAAATAAGAGAATTTTCAACGCATTTCGTGTAATTTGATTATGGTTCCTCGTTTTCGCCACGCTATTCGCTAATTAGGCCCATGAAGCTGCGACGTGTATGGCTCGTTTGGCTCGTTGCATAATTTATTTTTCATATGTAGCATAGCTGCACAATTGGCAAATATTTTGTAGTCGTGTAAACAAGTAAGCAAGCTGGTTATTACGAATGTGGTATGCTCTTTCCAATTATACATACATTTTTGGGGCGATGTCCTTGAGGACTGTTCACAATTTAAGTTATTCTTTGATGAACTCTTCCGATAGATTTTGAGATATTCGAATCAATATCGAAGCACTATAAGCATAATTAAAGCATACCAAAATCGATTAGAAAATACAACTTTTTTCTTATATGTTGGTTTTATTATGTGACCTTACTATTCTACTACATTATTAACCATATTTTTCTGTTTATATAAGCTTAAAGTATTTGATTTTTATGCGTTTTATACAATGTTACATATTTATTCTTTAAAACCAGCGACCCCAAGTCTCTTTCAATTCATAAATAACATGTTTAACAAAGCTATGAATATGCTCGTCAAATACAAATAAAATATATTGAATGTTTGTGAAATAATTTCTATGGATATAGACCAAAATTATGAAATTATGGCTTTAAATATATCCGAAACAAATATATTACTCAGCATTATTAATAAAAGCTGATTGTATTTCGAAAATTAAGCTGATGCTCTTCAGAATGCACAATATGTAATACATGTCAACTTCTTAGCAAAGGCATTACATTAAATAAAGGAAACAGTAAATTGTGACAATCTTAACTGAAAGCCAAATATTTCGATTTATTATAACAGTGCTTGTCATAAGTATATTGATGCAGTTAAGTAAAACTGAAACATATGTTGCCGGTGTGTAAGAACAATTTATATAAAACCCCATTGAAAGTTCATCCACATACCTGTTACTACACACACACACACACACACACACACATACATACTAATACACACAATATACAAGCTTGAACTCATATTTCATAGATTATAATATCATGGGGAGTGGGAAAGTTTTGCAGTCAGTTTCTTGAAGGTTAAGCAACACAAACAATGTGGCCTCCTGACAGCTCTTGCCATTTATTAAACATGTCAGGGGTGGAGCCGGAGCTTTTCAAGCAGCTTGTCGCTTGGGTGCCACCTTTGCGATTTTCTACTCTATCCGGGACTAGAAAAACTTGCTATGCAGAGAATAAAAGTAATGTGTGTAAAACTTTGGATGCTTTGCGTAATAAAAATAAATAGCACGCGGCTTGGGCATGCATGGCACGTATTTTGCATGCACTTTGATGCCACACCCATCAACGCACCAAGCCCGACCGCCCACCGCCCACCATCAGCGTCGCAGAACAAAACGCCCACAAAATATGCATACATTGTTGGCACGTGCATGCACACAAAGGAATTTCAAAAGACATTTTGGGATATGCGTGTAAGGGCTGAGCAACAGCTACTGCACGTGGAGCATCATCCGCTGAGATGCTGCAGCAGTGGATGCAATGCATCCTCCCTCAAGATGGCTATTTACTCAGCCAGACATGGGTAAATGAAGCTAATTAATTTTTACAATGCCAATGCTTAAGCCCATATTTAAACAAAAGCCAGATTCTCGGATTTGTGTCTGAGCAATTGCGGCACGAGTCGCTAAGCATTTTACATGGGCTAATTAGTGTAGTGTCTGCTGCTGGACTACACCACACCAAACGACGGTAGCTCAGTTCATTGAAATACTTAACGTCCACATTGTTGGCTCGTCAAAACAAACGCTTGGCATCGCAGCAACTGGCAACACACTCATTCGAGAGCGAGCCATAATCAGGCGCTGCAGCTTGCCGGAATGTGATTGGAGGTGGAAGCCTGCAATCAGAGTGTTCTGTCTCCTACCTTAAAGCTCTGGTTTTTACACACATTTAGATGTCATATTTTACCCGATCGAAAGTTTCTTTAAGATTCGGCAATAAGCGCCGAAGCGGCGTATGTAGAAGGAAGCTAAGTAGAATGTGTGTAACGCCAGCACGTCGCTGAGTTTAAGGTATCTGCTAGTCGAGCTCACTTACATGCATCAATTAAATGTAAAGTGTTCGATGCTCCTACATTGCTTTAAGTTCTTGGCTGGACAAATGGTCATCACTGGCATGGGCTGGGAGCTGACAGCTAGTTGACTGGGGTCGTCAAGGGTGCCGGTAGCGGGTGCGAGACCCAAGCCAAGAGCTGTGTCCTGTACGGACTTTGGTCATTTTTAACTTTCTGTGCGATTTGCACGGCTCGCTGCATTTTGTGACAATTTTTACTCCGCCTAATAGACATAGCGAGGGTATTTTGGTGTTTGAGGAACATCAAAAGCGCGTATTCAAAAATTTTAATAATAATAAAATCAAATAAATATTTGAATAATTTCATGAGAAAACAAAAATAGAAAAAGGCTGAAATTATAAAATTAATTAAATTTTCTTGGCAAATTTTTTATAAAATATCTTGATTACAAACCTTAAAATAGGAAGAGCTTGAATTCACATCTTCGGGCGATTATTTATGAAAGATTTTTATTGTTCAACTAATAATACTTTTATTGTTATGGCATTTGATGAAGTTTCAAAAGCTTTCATGTTGAATATTTAAAGAAGAGTATACCCGTTGAGTACCTTGCAAGTTAGCTACATTCTTCTGTTCTCTCTATTATATTTTGGCTTGTAACTATGAAGCTTAAAGTTCGAGCTAAGCTCTTGTGTGTGAAAAGTTATAGTTTTGTTTGGATTTTATACCCTGTGTCCTTTTGACATGAACAAAAGGGGTATGTCAAAGGCTTTAATAACTTTATTTATTAAAATATTTTTGTATGGTTAATTATAACTTCTTTCTTCTTCAGCTAAAGAGCTAAGAGCCAGGATTAAAATTTTAATAAGAATATAATTTATTTATTATAATGCCGCACTAATTGTATATTATTGGTACAATATAAAAATTCAACTAATCACTTATCTTTATTTCTCTAATTAAATTAACTATTAGAATATTAATTAGATTGCCTTTCACATTATCAAAATATAACAGCCGGTATTATTTAAATATATTATTGTTAGAAAAATTATTGCATTTAAACTTATCATATAATCTCCAGTTACTTTAATCAATTAAATAATCTTACTCAACCTAAACTAACTAAGAATTGGTACAGTGTATCTTAGATTTCCAAATACTCAAATGAAACAAAAAATAACAAAAACTGTTTTTACAATAATTACCTTTTAAACTTAAAATAATTTTAAGATAGGTTTTTTTTTGCCTAGAAATCATAAAACAGAATTTAAAAGCTATTATTAATAAATTATATACCATTTAAAGGTGCGCATGGGGTATAATAAAAATACGCAAATGTATGTAACAGCCAGACCGGAAACTCTCCGATCTCGAAGGAATTAACATGTTTTGGTTAGCCGAGTCGAGCTGGACACGTTCAGCAAAGATTCTAGCCAGAAAATGCAGAAATCATAGTTCCCATATAAGGTTCATGCAATTTTTACCAAATTTTGTAAACGCCTTTGCAAATCAAATGTGTGTAAAGGCAATTCGTATATTCGTATAACGTATCTTAGAGTCGTATACTTTTGTTGGGCGGGCATCTACTTCCTTTTA